GGGCATATAGTGTTGCCCATGTCCGTCCCGTCCCGATTCAATGTAAACACCCGTCCCGTCCGTCCCATCCCGTCCCATCCTGATTTAGCAACTTCATTCTTTGACAGATTTTAGTCAAACTTTATTAATTTTATAAGGTACAACCCTCCATAAATTGGGGGGGGGGCGGGCATATAGTGTTGCCCATGTCCGTCCCGTCCCGATTCAATGTAAACACCCGTCCTGTCCGTCCCATCCCGTCCCATCCTGATTTAGCAACTTCATTCTTTGACAGATTTTAGTCAAACTTTATTAATTTTATAAGGTACAACCCTCCATAAATTGGGGGGGGGGCATATAGTGTTGCATGTCCGTCCTGTCTCGATTCAATGTAAACACTTAGCAACTTCATTCCTTCATGGATTTTGGTCAAACTTTATGCAAAGGTCAATTATGAGTATACTTCGGACATTGTTGTGTTGCAGGGTTCCAAGGTCAAGGCCAAGGTCACTGTTGCTATATATAGAAAATCATCAACTGGTCAAACTTTATGCAAATGTCAAATATGAGCATACTTCGGACATTGTTGTGTTTCGGGGTTCCAAGGTCAAGGCCAAGGTCACTGTTGCTATATATAGAAAATAAGTGTAGTACCTTGTGTGTGTGCATGTTTCAGGGTATCAAGATCAAAGTGGTTGTAACTTTTTATAGAACACTGAAACTAATTTTACATGGCAGGGGGGCATTTATGTCTTACAGACATTTTCTTGTTTGAAGGAAAGTTCCATGGTCAAATGCAAGCCAAATTTATGAATTACATGTGGATCTAATCTGCAAGGGGTTTGAGCCCAACAGAGGTAAAATTGACTAAATTTTCAATGGTCTTCTTATTCAGGCACAGAAATGCTAGAATCAAATACTCTTCATAGATGGAATTAAGGTCCTGTAGGCCTGTTCCAAATTTATGAATATTTTACTACCTCTGGATCATTCATTCCTCCTTGAGAAGGGGTTAATGTTTAGGCTTAAGCAAAAAAAAAAGTTTTTCATGCAACATTCCAGAGAATCTCATTTTAATTTCATGGATCAATATACTTACAGGGTAATAACAAATGTAAGAATTTAAATGAATTTCTATGCATTTCAATGGTTGTTATTCTGTCAAGAATGTGGTCAGGATCCCATGACCATAACAGGAAGAAAGTGTATGTGATCTTTGCCGGACTATTAATTAAAATGATCTTCATGGATACAAAGTAGGTGATAAAATGTTCCCTACGGTCCACAGGAAAATTTAAGGTAGGTCATGATCAGGTTATCCAAAGCATATGTAATCTTGTTTTTGGCCTTACTGTTGTTTATATTGGGAAATAACATTTTTGGGTATATTTGTTTACTCTCAGTGGGAACAAAGTTGGTTGGAATGACTATCATGTGACTGAATTTTTATGGTATGAAAATTAAGAACCTGGCCCTTCCCTAGGGCCTATAGGGAGGGGCCAAAGAGGGAAAATTGGCTGAAATTTCAACATTCTTCTTCTTCAGATCCAGATATGCTAGAATCAAACACTCTTCATGGATGGAAAGGTCCTAAGTCGCTATATCTGAAATTGTTATTTCATTACCCCCGTGTCATTCATTCCTCCACTATATCCTTTTTTTTTCGAAAATTGTCAGCGATATATACCGTATGTCAGACAATTATGTACCCGCCATAAATGATATCAATAATATATGTTGGTCACTCCTAATATTAATTTCTCAGGGATTTCAAAAAAACTTTTTTGGATTATATGAACTTTTTTTTGTTTTTGTGTGATTTTTACATCACTACAACAAATAACATAATTGCTTTACAACTCAGGTCCATGTATCATTTGTATAACTTGGTGAGATCAATGTTGTATATTTATCACTTCTGTTTTGTAATTGCAATGGTCCTCTTTATATCTATTGCAGCATCTGGATTCTGAAGATACTGGTACAGTGGTATGCTTTAGGTTCAAAATATGTTCACGATATAATGCTTTCTTACATTTGGTTATTCAAAAGGAATGGATATTGCAGCCATTGCTTCTCCAATATTGGAATATTGAGAATTGAATGCTGGTTTAGAGTTACAAAATGGGTACCATAGCTACCTAATACTGATTGAGAATCATCTTTGAGCTAATTTTATTGCCTTTGCATGTCACCTACAGACCAGGTAAAGCTTGTAAATGAAGGATGCTGTATTCATCAGTTGTTTGTTGTTTGTCTGTCTGTTCTTAGAAATAACCATGCTCTTTGCAGGTCATAAAAATATTTATACACATACTAACTGTGATTGGTCCCAGGGTCCTGTCACCCCAGCATGGTGACCTTATAACATTGAAATGGTTGAAATAAGTGTCCTATAATGAAAAACACCTACTGGCAATCCGGAGGCACGGTAGTCTAGTGGTAGGACACTGGGCTCGTGACCGAGGGGTTGCAGGTTCGAGTCACGGCACGGCACTGTGTTGTATCTTTGAGCAAGATACTTAGCTCCGCTTGTTCCAGTCTACTCAGCTATAAATGAGTATGTGGTTGGGCAGTGCTATAATTGTAGAATGCTAACTGTGAGTGCCGAAATGGCAGCACCGGATGTATGGTCCCCAGGGAGTTGAGAACGATATTGGCTGGTTGCAAAGGTCCTATAACCACGTATAATAATTTATGAATCACTTCAAGATGACCTACGAACTAGGTTGTAATAAAGCGGTATATAGGAACCTCAAATTATTGTTATTATTATAGACAAATACCAAAGTTTTCCCCAGCCAGGTCTGTCACCACCCAGGAATGCACTCATGCAAGGGACAGGGCCAAGATATACAACATAGTAATAAGTGAACTATAGTTTACAGGTTGATTTTGAAGAAAAAAATACAAGCCCAACTCATGATTCATAGTGAACATAGACATTTTTTACTAGTTCGGGGCATCGGGCTAGGCAATTTAGGCAAACATCCATGAACTGAAAAAATGGGGAGGGGGGCTAGGTAGATCCTATTTCTGTCATTTTGTCTTGACAAATTTTGATGCTAAACCGGGGATCGGGCGATATATTGACAAAGGTGTTGAAATAATAGTAAATTAGTAACAACAAAAAGGCCTACATGAAATATCTGGCAGGTTTTCTTTATTAAGATTCTATTTTTTATAACCACCATTTATTTCTTTTTCATGTCAGAATATTTGACGCACCTTTGTCCTAAGGAGGGATTCTGTTCGTTTTGTTACCTTAAAGCCCTTAGCTGGGGCGCTGCAGGCGCCCGAGATCTACACTATCATCACAAAGGTTACCGAACTATGTGCGCTCGCTTATAGGCAGTGCCTATTTCATATTAACAGATATGGTCATTTAAGTACGTGTCTGTTTTAGGGGATAGAGGAAAGCTGGAGAACCAGAGAAAACCAATGATCTGCGGGAGTACCTGGTGATTGCTACAAAGACCTCAAGCCTGGGAGGCGACCCCAGTGATGGTGGTGGGCAATATAGCTAGTGATCGTAGACGGACAAACGCCTTACCCACTTGGCCACTGTACCAACCCCTAAACCATGAGACAGTTGCTACACATGTGCCATCGGGTTGAACTGTATTTATGTATCAGCGTTTCGTCAGTGCTTGTAACAAAAATATGTTTGAAAGTACTTCGTTGTGCTTGAAACTAGAGCGTCCCCTTCTTTAGTTTAAACTAGACACTTCGCAGATAGATTGTTTCTGAGGTTACGTTCAGTATGGTTGCAAGTGAAGGGTTGTAGTTCGTAAAGCCGTTATCTATCGTCAGGTGTAATGGTTGAATTTGAATTTTAATATGCATTCTGATGCTTACTACCTGTCAACGTTTCCAAAATTGTTTGGTGCATGTTAAAGGTCCCGAAAAAAGCTGTTTTTCGTCTGTGAAAAAGGTCTTTTTGAGCATGATTTCATGTCATTTGTCTTTTCCTTGGATACGTTCGATTGTGTTTGAAAACTATTTACAGTTTCGTTTACAGGTTGATATGTGTTTAGTTTCCGGACAAGCTCGGGGAAAACAAGTCTTCTATTCAACATGCACGATTTCGTAAAAGGCGCCTCATGTGCGGTCCTTTGCAGAATCGGAGGTTTCACTCCGTGTCTTCTACCTTGCGGGAAAATGAAGAAATCAAAATTGATTTGCTGACCCACTGAAACAATTAGGATATCTTCCTTTCTCACTTCATTCACTTTCATGTTGGCGGTGTCTCTCTGGGAAGCTCCTGTTATATGACATTGGTTTTTGCGAGGACGTGAAAACTAACAAAATATGTTTAGTAGGATGTGAAAATTCAAAACATTTTTTCATGAGTCTGTAGTAGTTGCAAACTTCGAAAAAGAAAATGCTGCTGTATATTCGCCAGAGTATATTTGGGATACGCTTGTCTTTCCATCATACGTGTAAGGGGGATAACTCTTAACCCTACATGTAAGAGAGATAAGTCTAACAAAAACCATACGTGAAAGGAAGGATAAGTCTAACACAAACCATCCGTGTAAGGGGGATAAGTCTATTAAAAATCATACGTATAAAGGGGATACAGATTACACAAATCATATGTGTAAGGGAGGATAAGTCTAACACAAATCATACGTATAAAGGGGAATAAGTCTAACACAAACAATACGTGTAAAGGGGATAAATATAACACAAACTATACGTGAAAGGAAGGATAAGTCTAACACAAACCTTACTGTAAAGGGGATGCGGTTTACACAAACCATACGTGTAAAGGGGGATACGTCTTGCACAAACCGTACGTGAAATGGGGGATAAGTCTAATACAAACCGTACGTGTAAAAGGGATAAGGTTTACACAAATCATACGTAAAAATGGGAATAAGTCTAACACAAATCATACGTGTAAAGGGTGATAAGTCTAACAGAAAACAAACGTGTGAAGGGGATAAGGTTTACATAAATCATACGCGTAAAGGGTATAAATCTAACACAAACCATACGTGTAAAGGGGGAGCAAATTCCTAGTTATTCAATCGTTTTATTGGAGTCGAAAGACCCTACAATAGCACAAATAAAACATATAAGCACATTTTCAATACATAAAAAATCTACATTATACAATGGACATAAAATTAGCTTTACATAAAGATACACGATACCCGTAACGGTTGCAATTAACATTACGAATTTAATACAATACATTTGAAATACTTGTACATGATAAATTATAGAATTTACCAATTTTGCACATGAACTATGATAATTACGAGATAATTAAATAGTGCCTTATATTAACAATACCTACCCTATCGCTCCGACAGGGGTCTAATGATGATAGCTCTACGTATAATATACGTTGCCTACATAATAGGTCTATGGTTCTGTTGAAAAGGAAAATAGCAAAACTTAATATATAATAAACATGTTTAGCAAATTACTTTTAAAATACTTTAGAGTGAATTACAGTTTCCATAAAAAGATAATGGAAACCACACCCAAAAATACGTTTATCAAAGAAAGATATTTTAACTTCTTCAAATATTTTAACAAATGCAAACATACTAATTCCATAAAGGTTACTCTAAAACATAGTATTTCAAATAGCTCAATACTAATATGTTTCATACACTTACTCTGAAATAAGTAGAGTTCTGTTCACCGCAGTCGGTATCATATATGTCGGTATAGGTTTCTATGTCTGGTCCGGTCTCTGTCCAGTGCGGGAGTGCAGATACAAGACGTACAAGTGCACGAGCTGACATGCGATCGCGTGACAAGACACTACACTATCATCACAAAGGTTACCACAAACACTTGAGACACACGTTGACCAGACAAACCGGTTGAACGAGTACGAGAATCGGTATATAAAAATAGTTAAGTACGTCAGACATACGTACAACTTAAGCATTCTCACTTAGACAATACTATATAGTTTAATAATTTGAATTAAACTCTTATTACAAAATAACCTAAAATACAGCACTGCCACACAAATCATACGTATAAAGGGGAACAACGTCTAACATAAATCATACTGTTAAGGGGGAATAAGTCTAACAAACCATACGTGTAAAGGGGGATTAGTCTAACACAAACCATACGTGTAAAGGGGGTTTAGTCTAACACAAATCATACGTGTAAAGGGGGATCAGTCTAACACAAACCATACGTGAAAAGGGGGATTAGTCTAACCCAAAACATACGTGTAAAGGGGGATTAGTCTACCACAAACCATACGTGTAAAGGGGGGAATAAGTCTAACACAAATCATACGTGTAAAGGGTGATTAGTCTAACACAAACCATACGTGGAAAGGGGGATTAGTCTAACACAAATCGTACGTGTAAAGGGGGATTAGTCTACCACAAACCATACGTGTAAAGGGGGGAATAAGTCTAACACAAATCATACGTGTAAAGGGGTATTAGTCTAACACAAACCATAAATGTACGAACCATTCGTGTAAAGGGGAATAAGTCTTAAAAAAATCATACATTTTTATTGTACGTGTAAGTTGATAAGGCAAACACAAAGCATACGTGTAAAGGGGATGTCTAACATTACCCATACGCGGAAAGGGGGAAAGTCTAGAACAAGCAATATGTTTGAGGGGGGATAAGTCAAACACAACCCATACCTAATATGTTTCATACACTTACTCTGAAATAAGTAGAGTTCTGTTCACCGCAGTCGGTATCATATATGTCGGGATAGGTTTCTATGTCTGGTCCGGTCTCTGTCCAGTGCGGGAGGGCAGATACAAGACGTACAAGTGCACGAGCTGACATGCGATCGCGTGACAAGACATTTACATAACAAAACAGCACAGGTAACAAACACTTGAGACACACGTTGACCAGACAAACCGGTTGAACGAGTACGAGAATCGGTATATAAAAATAGTTAAGGACGTCAGACATACGTACAACTTAAGAATTCTCACTTAGACAATACTATATAGTTTAATAATTTGAATTAACCTCTTATTACAAAATAACATAAAATACAGCACTGCCACACTAAACATACGTATAAAGGGGAACAACGACTAACATAAATCATACTGTTAAGGGGGAATAAGTCTAACAAACCATACGTGTAAAGGGGTATTAGTCTAACACAAACCATACGGGTAAAGGGGGATTAGTCTAACAAAAATCATACGTGTAAAGGGGGATCAGTCTAACACAAACCATACGTGGAAAGGGGGATTAGTCTAACACAAATCATACGTGTAAAGGGGGATCAGTCTAACACAAACCATACGTGGAAAGGGGGATTAGTCTAACACAAACCATGCATGTAAAGGGGGATTAGTCTACCACAAACCATACGTGTAAAGGGGGATGAGTCTAACACAAATCATGCATGTAAAGGCGGATTAGTCTAACACAAACCATACATGTACGAACCATTCGTGTAAAGGGGAATAAGTCTTACAAAAATCATACATTTTTATTGTACGTGTAAGTTGATAAGTCAAACACAAAGCATACGTGTAAAGGGGATGTCTAACATTAACCATACGCGGAAAGGGGGAAAGTCTATAACAAGCAATATGTTTGAGGGGGGATAAGTCAAACACAACCCATACGTGTTAGGTTGATAAGTCTAACACAAACCATACGGGTAAGGTGAATAAGTCTAACACAAACCATACGTGATAGACAAAAAATAAATACATAAAACACGTTATTTTGTATGTCATTCTCGTGAATTGCGGTAAAATGAATGTATACCGCGATCATTATTCGGGACAGAAACATTGGGATTTGCCTCAAAACTAATAGACAGTCGTATTACATCCCGACATAAATATTTGATGTTTCACATTTGTGTGAACCCTTTACTCATCATAGTCAAATACCCGTGACGAGCATACCACTCAATGCTGAGATACTAAACGCACTGACGCATATCGAGTACGCAGTACCTTAATGTGGCAGTATTTATCAAAGTGACTATTAAACAAATTTGACGCTATATGGTGACTTTCCACAGAGAGTGCATTTAATCGGCTAAAACTTGTATCAATATTTGTATGTCTGGACAAACATACAAGGAACAGTAGGAATACTTGGCCGGTCAACACAGCACGTAAGTAAAACCTCATTCATAACAGTTTAAAATGAACCCGGCAACCGATCCAGAATTCCGGAAAACTCGCACACCTTTTAAACAGCGTTAACCATCTGATTATGATTATACGTGCAGTACCACTGCAAAATTGGGATAGGTTTTTAATCAAATCGCCCATTATATAGATATACAATAAATTGTATTGCATTTCTAGTAGTTTAAGGTCATTCCAATATGGCTGCCTGTCAAACTACATGTCATCATTCTCGATATTTGAAGCATTTTCTTACATTTTTCTCGACAAATGCATCTCCATGGACATCCAACCTTATGATATTTATAAGTTAAAATGGATTTTTTCCTGAATTGTGACTTTTATTCATCTTGAAAAATGAACATATAAAAAGTAAGTTTTTTTCCATCAGTTATTGAATACTTTTTTCTGAAATTTAGTGTGCATGTACCTCAATTATGTTTGAGAAATATTGGAGGAGGATTTTTTGTGACCGGGACTGTTTAATGCATACGGAGTGCATTATTGAATTTGATATACAGTTTGGTGTGGCAGCCATATTGGAATGACCTTAAGGATCCCCGTCCCTCCGCCTAAAAATGAAATGAAGCATTGGTGTTTTTTTTATACGGCATTGCTATTGCATAACCAAATCATTTCTGAACAATAACCCATATCTTGCAGGAGTGTCTTTAGATTTTTTTTGGATATTATTTCGATTTAAAAAAACAAAACTACATACGATATTGTGGTATAAAAATATCACATTGTAAAAATAACACTGCCGTATGTAATATAAAAAAATGAACTTGAAATATAGGCCTATTGGGCATATAATAACAAATATGAAATATAATCCTGACTATTGTGATGTGAAATACTTCCCAGGCCAAAGTGTCTTTCCTGTCGGGTATTGCACAACCGTAGCCGAGTACCGCATTCCTTACAACCTTTCTGGTCCAGGTATTCAGATAACATCGCGAGTTCAACCACTCGTCTACCCTGCGACCAGGTTAAAAAGTTATTGGCGTATTCGTGATCACTAGTACTGGAGGGATCCTCATCGGACGTCGGTGTCGGCAAATCAGTAAAATTGTCAGTAAGCTTAGTAGGGGCCTCAGTAGCCAGCGTCTCTTCAATGTGTAAACGAGTGTCACTTTGTTTAGTCGCATAGTCGTGGTCTAGCAGTTGATATTGGACATCGTTGTTGTTATTATTGTCAGTTAATGCGTTTAGTTTACATTTAAAACGGCCGATTGTACGTCGGGCTTGCATGTCGGCTATCACTGCCACGACGTTGTTTACATCGTTACGACAGCTTTTTTTGCCCACACTTTCGCGATTGGAGATTTTCAACGCAAGGGACACAACTCTGTAGTCGAAACGTTATTCAAACGAAATGTATTTAAGGGAAGATAACAACATTGTCGAAATGGTAATCAGGGGCAGGGGATTCTAACACTGAAAAACGACAGTGGAATTCTTTAGTGTTTTGCTCTGGCTGGGACGGGGATCCTTAACTGAACTTATTTGAGATTCCGTTTTACATATGTCAACTTAGTCAATGAGGTCGCCCATGCAGGTGCTAGTCTAATACATTGTACTTGATTGTGATATATCTTACTGGCTTGCTTTCAAACATCCCTTCTTAGCAATGAGAATCATCCCACTAACAGTGACCTCCTGTAGCCCCGATGCGCACGTGATTGATTTTGTTTTAAAAACATTTTATTGTAATTTATATACAATGGGAGTATAGTAGAAGCTGCAAGTTAAGTGGAATGAAATCATTTAATTCGCGGTAGAGTTTAATTCTCTGATCCGCATAATTATAATTAAGAAGTAATAGTTATTCCCGCTTTTGGATACAGGTTTCCGGGGACTATCTCCAGGTTTTTCCTGGGCGTGCAGGTTGATTTCGCTGACCGGGGGTTTATAACGAATTTTTTCGCAGGCAGACTTGGAGATGTACACTTTTTGCCGTACACATGGAGCATTGTTTAGCCCGCATTATCATGGGTACATTTTAGTCGTCAATCTCATGTTTTTGAAACGTTTTTTGAAATGTATATATGTAGTGGTATATAACGTTGTATATTGATTAAGGTCATTGGAGTGTATTGATAAACGGAAACAGGAAGTACATCCCTAGTTGAATAACCAATGTAGGGAGACAGCGTCACAATTTCCGCAAATTCTAATGTTTAATATTAAATTGATGAATATTGTATGTTTATTATTGACAGAACAGTGGGGTCTCTCAATATTAAAGTAGTTCAAAGCAATCCAGGCATTGATTCAGGGGTTTTGTTATCAATGAGTCACATGTGTCCATTTTTTTGTACTTCAGGAAACCGGCTACCTATTTCACTACTGTGAAGTTTTTCAAGAACGATAACTCTTACCTGCAATTACTATGTGTATATGGTTTTATTATAAAATGTCAATTTTTATATCGTGTATAGAGAATTAATTTTACACAATTTCAGCATTTATTAAATTGATATACATTAATGCAATACTGATATATGTCAGTATCATTTTTATTGACATTATTTTGTGAAAATATTGTGTCTTTCATTTTTTTTTCAAAATTCACTCCTTTTTACATAAATTTCCATTTAAAATCCTTAAAATTCTGACAACTTTTTTTTTTTTTGTGGCAGAAAATTTTCTTTACTTTAAAGCAATATAACGACAAAATTTGAAGAAATTCTACTGAGAAATGGTGACACAATCCTATTACCTTTAGGTCAAAGGAGTGTATTGCTAAACGGAAGTAGGAAGTACATTCCTAGTTGAAAATCCAATGTAGGGAGACAGTATCACAATTTCCGCATATTCTAATGTTTAATATTAAACTGATGAATATTGTATGCTCATTATTGAAAGAACAGTGTGTCCTTTCAATATTAAAGTATTGCAAAGCAATCCAGGCATTAATTCAGTTTTTTTTTATCAATGAGTCACATGTGTCCACTTTTCTGTACTTCAGGAAACCGGCTACCTATTTCACTACTGTGAAGTTTTCCAAGAAAGATAAAATGTCAATTTTTAATCGTTTATAGATGATTAATTTTACACAATTTCAGCATTTATGAAATAAATATACATTAATGCAATACTAATCTATGTTAGTATCATTTTTATTGACATTTTTTTTGCAAATAAAATGTGAGTTTCAAGTCTTTTTTCAAAATTCAATCCTTTTTACATAAATTCCCATTTAAAATCCTTAAAATCCTGACAACCTTTTTTTTGTTTGTGGCAGAACATTTTCTTTACTTCAAAGCAATATAACTACAAAATTTGAATAAATTCTCCTGAGAAATGGTGACACAATCCTATTACCTTAAACGCCCATTCGGCGAGCTAGCGGCAAATAGTACATTTGTGTTGGTGTGAATTTTTTAAGTAGCCGAGTGGAGTGAGACTGAACTAAATAATTACCCATCATCTTCAAACATTAATACAGCATGTATAAAGAGGCGGTCGACCGTGAACACCACGCGCACACACGTAAAGTTCGCTCAGGCTTACTGCATGCTTCCCAACTCGAACAAAACAGAAAAATTGAGTAAAAAATGTTCACCTGGACAATCATTTTACCTACCCTACAATGCAGATAATTTACATGTCTGAGCAGGGACAGTATATTCACTATACGTCCCTGGTCTGAGTGAGTACTAATGTAGCAGGAGGGGAGGCCTGGCGAATGGGTGGTGCTTCCATATATGGTGGTATTGTACCTCGCGTTGTGTTTTTCTGATGTTATATATTTTTACTCCCATTCCTCATTACTCTCCACTGCCATGTTCTTTTGTAATGCCGGCGGGACACGTTGGAAAGTACAACCAGAAGATTGAAACAGAGCCAACAATTTATTTTTACAAACAAAAGTATAATTATATAACAAAATAAGAGTAAGGACTTTGGGGTAAATTGGGAAGAATGGACAACATAAATAAACATTTCCAAACTTAATAGTTAACCACCTGGAGGGAATTAATCTATGAAATTATAGACTGAATAACAAAATAAACTTAACAATAACAAATACATGGTAAACTAACTAAATGAACCAAGACTAGAAATACACCTGAGTGAACATATAAAACAATAGAAATAAAGGGATGATAAACAAGGCTATAAAGAAAACGGCTAACAAAAAGGGGAGGTAACCCGTCCTATCAAAACTGTAAATACTTATAAAAGACCCCGGTCTGAGTTGTTAGGCCATGTACCCAGAAAAACGATATTTATAAATAACAATAACAATAAATGTAATATCAAAAAATATAATTACCCAAACGTAACAAGTCTCCCTTGAGCCCGTAAACCTATGAAATAAGGTGTTTATCTAATGTCTAGCCCCTTTCCCCTTACTTGCTGTTACCTTGAACTAAAACAACCAATGTCCGAACCATAGCTAATGCCTATAAGTACCGTCAGAGTGCAGGAAGTTGTACTAAATATATGGAATTTAATGTTAATTTGACTTATAATGATTATAGAATAGTGTAAAAGCTTGGAAATGTGAGGTAAAACCAAACGCACCTGAGGATGGCCTAAATCTACTTGCCACCCTCCAGATCGCGGCATCCGTCCATATCAGGCGCTGTCCACCCCCAAGCATGACCGGTCACCCTCTCTCTTGATCAGTCTGTCGCACGCGGACCCTTCCTGATACACACCCCACGCTCCCACACTTTCACTCACACATGCAAATGCCTCTCATAGTCGAGGACCGGCGCCTCGTATGGGATGCGGGTCACAGTGCCCCGCATCCGACGATAGCCCCGAATCTTCCCTCCGATTTCCTCTATACCCACTCGCTCATCACGGCAGTTCATGGCAGAGATATCCCGCGGGGGAAACCAGACCATCCGGCCCATGCCATGCCTAAGCCGGGCAGCCTGTTCACACCCCGGGAGACGCCTCCGACTTGAACTGCCGGGTTCCCCTTCCACTCCCGTCTCGCTTTCCGTCTCTGTCACCTCTTCCA